GCTGTTCGATTTATATTTAATTGACATACAAAACTGATTAAATGATGATAAATGTAGTGAGGTACAACATGGAGACAACTGTATGGTTTATTTTTCATCTCTTACTTCGAAGGACGCACTGAGCTTATAAAAAAATCCTTGCTGGAGTTTTCAATTTTTTGCCCAAAAAACCATTCAAATTTGAATGCATCGAAGGCACGACTTATAAGGTTATGTCAAAAAAATTACAAATAGAGTTTTGAAACCGATCGTCTATTTCTAACTGATTATTATAAAGAGAAAAAATCTGAATGCAAATTTTGAGGTTTATTTCATGATTCTAATCGGTCATTTTATACTCAATTGAAAAAAAGTTTTGTAGAAAAATGGCTCAAGGGATTCGGACAATAGATACAATTTAACAACAACTGTTCACATTATTGGTTTCCTTACTTCATTTTTTAGCTTTAACTCATTTAGACTATCCAATTTTTTTAAATACATCTTTTATATGCAAATCTAATGCTTTCTCTAGAGAAGCACGTGATTTGGGTTTGAAGCGCATGGTATTCAAAAAAACCCAAGAATCTCGACTGCACAATTGAAAATATTTAAAGGAATAGACAATAGATTGAACTGAAAATTGTTATACACGTAAATCAGTATTCTATTGATGAAAAAAACTTTGGCCCTTGCAAGCAAAATAGCTGATTAGAGAACTAATCGTCTCACAAAGCAAAACAATAATTGACAACCAATGCTTAACTACATCTCTACAATTTTTTTTTTCATTTGAAGTCCCAAAAATCGAATTTTTGCCAGCAAAATTTAAAAAATTTCGACATCGCCACCTCAACTTTCAAAGTAAACTAAAATAGTTCTAGATGATAAGAAGCATTCTAAATGATATTGTCAGCATACATTTACGTGGCGTGAATTCCGTTTTCTCTAGTGGATTTAGTAAATAAAATATGACTCATCAAATATGATTTGTTTTTCCAGATTTTTTGATGCTCATAAAGCATTAATTATTTGTAAAAGTTTATTTTAATTTTTCACAATCATCCTTAAATTGTTGATTTGATGATTCAGTAATTTCGACGCTTTTTTGAAAAATTATTTTGGTACCAGTTTGTATTTTGAACTACAAATAACCAATCTAGTTTATAGGCTTAACTGTCTTGATGCTGCGGCTGGTTTTTACGGTAAAAACACTGTTCTTTGTTGTTTGTTGTTGTGAAAAATTTATCGTTTTAAATTTTTTTCATAAACGGGCAACTCGAAAAGCTGACCAAATTGCGCACAATTCTAACCTCAATTGCTGCTTTTAAATCAAAATTGATTGACAGGTCACTGTCTTCTCTGATGGTGCTGTCAATCGGCCGTTGACATTTTGAGCAGAGTCTGCTATCACTCGTCAAAACCTGCTGCAGACATATTTTAGGATGGGAGCAATATGAATGTCCACAAAATAAGGCTTTTGGGTTATCCAGCGTTTCCAAGCAGATGCAGCAATCAAAAGGATTGGTAGACATAGCAAAAACATTCAATAATACAAATCGGTTGGTTTAAATTGGCATAGCAGTTAATCAAAAGATCAAGTACTGACAAAAATGAAAACTTATGCTAGGTTTTCGTTTGTCAACACAAAGAGTTGGCAATTGCAACATTGATGCTCAAACAAATCAAATATCTCAAGAACGATGTTTCTTAATGATTGGAAAGTTTTATGGAAAATTGATCAAAGTTAGAATGTCCAACAAAGACTGCTAGCCTCCGAATCTTTTATCACACAAAATACAAATTCTTTGAGTTTTTATTTGCAGTAATGAGTGACCTTGCATAAATTTGTTTGAATATAATCATTTTAATGTCGATCAAAAATTCATTTGCCAAAATTTAATATTCCATATCTTTTTAGTAAGAACAATGGAGGGTTTTAGCTCAAACTTGGGTACTGTTTTAATACCAAATAAATTTTTGCGCTTCGGACCTTCTAAAATATAGTTTGGTTTTCACGGGAGGATCTTAGATTTTCTCGAGGTAGGGGGCGGATTTTCAAAATTTTTTTGAAAACTTTGTCGATTAAATTGAGTTTTCGAGTGCTCCAAAAATATTTTACAGAACATCATTGACAAAAAATTTTTGCGCCGCCGTCAAATTTTTGAAAAAAATTCAAAAATGCCGTTTTAAGGATTTTTTTGGAAAATTTTGACCAAAAAATTGGGTTTTTTCGGCACGCACTCCGACCTCAAAACTAGTATATTTTGGCGCCAGAGGTGTTTTTAGAAAAAAAAATTGATGTCATAAAATAATACCTCAATTGATGCGATAACATATTACCAACATGCTAAAACATGTTTCCTTTGCAGAAAAATTGAAATGAAAAACTTGTCGAATTTGAGCTTTTTAATTGTCACATTGAAGGATTGCCCACCAAAAAAAAGATGAATGTAAATTTGTTGTCATATCAGTTAAATACAAGATTTGCCAAATTGCGGTTGCCCATTATGAAGTTGTCCAAAAAACTGTGATTTATTTCATTACTACCTGTAGTTGAGGCATCAAGTATTTGTAAATTTGTAAGTTGAAGTTTTTCCAAACAGAGTCAGTTTGTTTTTATTTCTTCTCTTGCATTCAATGACTTTTTTCCAATTGTCTGTTGACTATGCTTCGAATTTTGCATAGCATATGAAGTGTAGAACCATGGTGTGCGAATATTATTAGGAGCATCTGTAATTGACTCAGGTAAAGAATCGAAACCAAATTGTTTTGAAGTTCTTCCGCCGTTTGTTCATTAGGATGCTGCTTGGGTTTTGAGCTGGCCTTGACTAAGCAATTTAAAACAGCTTGAAAAACTTGAAAAATATCAAATGAATGACTGAAAGTGACTGAATAAAAAAAGAAACAAGCTTTTGATCCTGGCTTTGCTCGACAACAGTCCACGCGGCTTTTTTTATCCCTGTGATGTTTTGATGTTTATCTTCCACCTCCATTCATTAACGGTACAAAGTTGTTGACATGAAATAATCGGCTTATCTATGAATCAGATCAATAGTATGCAAAAAACTTTAATATATAAAAAGAAGGATAGCTGGTCGGTGTGCAAGTAGCACGAAATGTTCAGACCACAAGAACAAAAAAAATTGACCATAATTTTGGGAAAAATATTTACCGAAAAACCATTTATAAAAGTTGTTGTCAAAAATACGCTCAAAAACTTTCAAGCATTATGTTCATATATTAAATATCTTAATTACGTTTCTATGTTTTTTTTTTCACTTTTAAAGGAGTGCTCGCTCGCTTGATTCGCTCAAAGTTGAACCAAATATCGAAAAACTTCAAACACTTTTTTACACTGATGATTTTTTATTAGACTTCGAATTACAACTGCAAATGTTTTATAATGGTATCTCAATCGACTCTTCCAACGATAATTTGTGGTGCTTGATTTCGCGTGGAAAACAAAAAATGAAAAAACTTAAAGAAAAACAAGTACAAAGTTTAGCCCGATCACAGCAATGAAATAAATGATCATTTTAGAGTTTTTCGAGAACGTTAAGAAATTTTCTCTGTGGAAACGTTTTTTCTCTCCACAAAGTGTGACTTTTATTGCTCGTTCGGCTATGTTCGGACCTTACGCCATATTAAGTAAAAAGTGATAAAGTTCGCAAATAAGCTTCATTCAACTTTTTTGGAACGATTTCTAAAACGTATTAAATCTCCGCTTACGCATTAATAGCGCGAAATATATTGCGCTTGATTGTCCATAATTGGCCAAAATGGTAAATTTTAACCCCTCAAAACTTTACGAAAAATAGTCCAGGTGAAATATCTTTTAAACTTTAAGCTCAGGTCTACAATACTTTTTGAATGAGATTTAAAAAAGTCCGTCAAAGGTTGCTAAATAAAAACGCGAATTTTGTTTGAAAAAAAAAACCCACCCCCAGCACAAATATTCCGTTACTTTCGCTACGAAAGTCGGAACACAAAAAAGCGGTAGGGTCAATCGATCTTAAAACAGTCGGACCATTCAGGTCTTCTCACTGATACGAGCAGTCTTGTTGTGTCTTAAGGTTATGGCACAAAATTGTATTCGTCTAACAGGTTTCTTAAACTACAATTTTCACTAATTCACTTCAGACCACAACTACTATAAGAAAGAGAATGGATTTGTTCAAAGTGGATTTTTTTTCCAGAAAAATTTCGACTTTTTATATAGCAATGTTTGCCGGGTTTATTTTTTTTATCATTTGAAAGGTTTTGTTTTCTTGAGCTCAAATTTTAAAGGATTTTTTAAGCTGTGATCATTTTTCGTTAAATTATGGAGGTTTAAAGACTGCCAATTCGGGACAATTAACGCGCGATATAATTCGCAACATTACCGCGTAAGCGGAGATTCAATCAGTCTTATAACTCGGTGCAAATTAGTTAAGGCAGGCTTTTTGTCATAATCGCTATGGTAATAGGATCTAAATCTATCACTTTCATTTTTAAATGGCGTTTATATGGGATGGTGGATTTTTTAAAAAATTTTATCAGATAGAAAAAACTATCAGTTTGAAAGTGAACACGATTCATGTGAAAGTTCAATCTTTTTCGAATGTTACCATCACTCTTTATTTTTTCGATCATTATCCGCCTCAAAGTTCCTATTGGTCCGCTAAAAATGGCCGAAAAAATTGTACTACATTTGATTGAAAACAGTTGCTCATGCATAAGAACTTGTTAAAATCTCGATCCTTGCGGTACTTAGTTTTTTCCATACGTCTTTGAAACCAGAATTATGTGTTTTTTAATATCTTTTTCTCTAATATCTCGTTTTCTATTATCTATTAATATCACTTAATATGTGAATTCTTAGTGCGCCAAAACTTTAGACGATAACTTGTAATGAACGTTTTCTGACCAACTCGTCATAAAACATGAAAATCGAAACGCATGTTAAAAATTAATTTTTGTGTACGTTGAGTGAAGCTAAATTTATCAGCATATTCAGCTTTTTAAGATTTATACTTCATCATTCATATATTTTTACAACTAGTTTTGTTTGTTGTTTTTATTTGTTTTATTTTATTTTGCTCGTCCAATTTTTCTTTTTCATCGTCGTTTATCATTACTTGTTTGCAAAATGGTGTCTTCAAAACTGCTGAAGCGTTGCGTGATGCAATATCGCCCTTTGGTTTTCGCTGCCCTGTTATTATACTTCTTTTTATGGCTTGGTCTTAACAGTTGAGTGTTTTTTATCCTTTTATTCTCATAGTCTGGAGATATTATATTTCGAACAATTTAAACGTGAATCACAAAAACAAAAAACAATTAAATTAGAAATTTGGTAATTGTTTTTTTTTGCTGGTACTCGTTTTTTTGTAAAGCAAGACAAGTTTGGGCAAATTTTTTTCTGAATTTTGACGCATTTTTTGTTGTTTGATTTTTGATTGATCGAAAACAAGTTGGTCACATTCAGCTAAATTTTGTCATGAGCGTGATATAACCTTAAGCTACAAAACACAGTCATAGCTTTTTTTTGAAACAAGGTAACAATTTTTTTGCGCTGCAATTTTTGAGATGTTGAGTAAAGGTTGTTTTCACAACACTTATCTTTCATTTCATTAACATTGAACCCATTTTTTTGTAATATGTAGCAAAAAGTTATCAAATTCTGATGATATGTTTCAATAAATTGTTTGTTTTTGTTAACGGATGCTTTCTCGGTTTATGAAAGTTTCACTTCATTTTGTGGTAAGCAAGCTTCTACAATGCTGATTTGAATTATCAGGACAAAACGAAAAAAAAAACATGAAATTTAATTGCATTTGTTCTAAACTGGGTTGATTTAATACAAAAACGATGAAAACCAAAAAAAAAATTTTTTTTCAAAGTTTGGGTCAATAACTATAACCCTAAATTGGGCCAGATAGCTAAGATAGAAAGGTAGATAAATAGATGAAAAGAAAAAAAATAAATAGAGGATGCAGAAATAGATAGAAAGAAAAAATGATATAGTTAGACGCAGATGTTTTGAATGTTTACTTTTATAGTAGCGGTTTAGATTTGAGCAGAGATGAAGTTGCCGATAGTCTAGACTTTGATATGAACTTGAAAACCAATCCGATCGGCATGATTCAAACTATTGAACAAAAAAGATTAGATTTCTCCAAAATTGAACTTGAACTTGAAAATAACATTGATAATAATGATTTATTTGGCTAAAATTGAAAGAATTATGAAATGAAAACTGGTTGTGACCAAAATTTTGATCAATCTGATCTAAGTTTTTTTTTCAAGCGGCAATCAGTTTAAAGTAAAACTGAACTAATTTTTCAAACTATATAAATTTTGTCATTTTTTTGAACTGTCGGCATAAAACGCAATGTCTAAAGGGTTTGTCAGTTCCTATTCCCAACTCAGCGTCCCACCAGAGGAGCGATGGTTCCCAGATTAAATTGCGAAAGACTGTGACTTTTCTAACGTCTCCGGGAGGCTGCAAGGTGACGTATTTTTTCAAACAAATTGACAAACAACATTTTATTTATAAATTATATACAGAGAACAAATAAACAATGGTTGAGATTATGTTCGCCATAGCGCGAAAAAAATGCAAATCAGTTTTCTCTTTGTAAACTTGCATAATGTTCTGCACTTATTCGTTTAGGCATCGATACTTTTCCTTTTAAGTAAATTGTTGTCTGCTCGAGGCGTTAAAGAAACTAAGTTTGAGAAACATTTGATTTTTCGAGCACACGCAGCATTTCTGGGCCGCCGAGTAAAATAATCCTTTCGTATCATTTTTTCCACTGTCAAATTTTACAAAGTTCTTGAATAGCTCGGGTATTTCGAAGTTTCTTGTTGCTAGGGAGACTGGTAAAACCTCTTCTCGTTGCTTGTGTACGCCTTGTGCAGTTCGGATTAAATTTTCCTTTGTTGGTAGGCTAATTGAGTGGCAAAAAGGTCTGTTTTGAGCTGAATTGCTCTCGCTCAGATCCTTGATATTTTTCAACAGTAGTCGAGCATCAAGTTTTCCCGCTATATGTCGTAATTATGCTCAACCCTCGTTTGAAAAAAAAAACTGTTGCCATCTGCAGTTGCTGTTGTTCGTCATTTATGAGTCTGGTATATTGAGCTGATCCAGTTTGTTGTAGTTTTGCCTTTACGTTTAAGATAATACTAGCCTGATTCAACTAATTTTTGTTTGTTTTTGGAGAGTAACGTAAAATGGAAGGACGCTTCAAACAACATAGCTCATAGAATGGTAAAACAATCGTTCAAGTGCTAGGCAGTATGATTTTATCTACAGTTTTTAAAATTCTTGAGTTTGCTTTTAATTAGCACCATGTAGGTTATTTCTGTTTGAAGCGCGTGAATGAGGGATTATTTCTCTAACTAATTGAAATGCTATTGTTTTTGAGATGCTGGAGGCATCAAGTGAGCTAAGACAGGCTTTTCAGGCCTCAATTAGTACAACTAATTGGAATACTCCTGTTTTAAAAGGGGGTTAAATGGTTGTTGAGTTATCTTGTTAAGGGATTATAAAGTAGTGGGTGTAATAATTGGTGGTTATGTAACGTGAGGATAAAGAAGGGGACGCCAGATTTGAAGTATTAGTAATTGGATCCAATAAAAAGAGATCAAAGCGCAAAGAAAACTCTAGTTTTGTTTCGGCCGAAAAAATTCGCTTCTCCACTTGCCAAGTAAAACCATCGATTTGCTTTTATCAAATGACATACTCGGGTTGACTAAAACTTTCCATGAAACAGTTTTCAGAAACAGAAAACAGCTAGTCATTTCAACTCAATCAATTTATAACCAAAGAAAATTGTATGAGAGACTTATTTTCTACAGATGATAAAGTTTTTTCAACTATTTTTTGATAATCATTTTCAATTGATTAGAGCCGCGCTAATTCTAATAAATAATGTGTGAGTACATTTGAAATATGTCACTTCGGGTTTTGCATTGGGCCTGGGTTGGAGATCCAAAAAAGTTTGTGTAAATTGTTTTTTCGAAATGTTTTATCAATTTTGGGTCAGGTATCTTAAAAAACATTCAGGGTTGAATAAATTTGTTCTTGATACGAGTGGTCTGACTGTTATTTCGACTTTTCGACTATGCTTATATATCAAATTATAAAAATATTATAATCAAATTTGCACTGAACCCAGCCACACACTTTTCCAAAACAATCCCATAACGCAGGTTTGATCCCCCTTTTACTCATTCTCTCCATTCACGTTCATACCTTCCCCAATATTACCCCCCCCCCCCCGTTTACCATGGATTAGGGACAGTAAATAAAGATCAGCGAAAAACGATAGCTCAAAACTTATGAGAAAATTTTTGAATCAAAATATTGCAAACGAGAAAATTACTTCTTAGGCCAAATCAAAAACGCGTATCAAGCCAAAAGCAACAGGTAAGTTTTGAATATATTCCATTGAGTTTGAAATTGAGAGAAGAATTTAAAAAACAAATTATTGATTATCCCTGATGATAATCGACTAAAACTTTTTGAATTTTTGTTTCAAAGAAGTACAAGATTTCAATCCAATTTTAATCGATACATTTGAATTTTATAGAATCTGACATCAAAAGTCTAATTATCTATGAAACTCCAGAATGGAAAATAACAAAATATGAAAAATTTAGTTTTGTTCCTTTTTTCATTTTTTATTCACATTGATAATTGTGATAATCGTTTTGAAGCTAAAAGCAAACTATTTTTCTGATTTTTATTAATTCTTATCTAAAATTTTTTTAAAAAGACAATTGAATTTTTTGGCAAAGCAACAGTTCATAACGGTGACCGCTTGACTGGCATAAAGCTCAACTAGCTCAAAAGTTCAAAAACTTTATATTATATCAAATCGCATAACTTTGATAGTCATATTTCTCAGAAATAGAAGTTAACAATCATAATCCGTTCAAATTGAAGTTTGCACTTTAGAGAAACAAAAGTTTGAGCGACTGCGAAGTTAAGCAATTAACTAGCAAATGAAATTCCTCATCACAGTAGTCGTGATCATTCAAGTCTATCAGTGATGAACGTAACGCGCAAACGAGCTATTAGTGTGAAAAAAAGGAATAATATAACTTTTGACTATTATTTAAATTTTGACAAAATTTAAATTTTTGTTTTCTTTTTTATGCTAGCCGAAACACTTTTCAGTTTGTGAGTTTTTATTCTAGTCGAGATTTATGTTAGCCGATACAACGCCGTTAGGAAAAATTTTGTACAGTTTTACAGTTTGAGCTCGAAAGTACTTCTTAAGTCGAAATAGTTTTTAGAGAGTACTTTTCTGTTTTGTTCAGAGCAGAATCTGGAGCCTTCCGATGGCGATGGCGATCTCAAGAATGCAGGAGAAGACGATGATTATATAACAGAAAACCAAAATCAGATGTAAGTACAGCGATCAACCTATCAAGGTGCTCAAATTTTGTTTATGACTTAGGGCTTATATAAATTATCCGCATTAAACTTGGAATTTTAAGTGCGTTTATCTCAAATTGGGTTGAATTTAGGCAAAAAACGACGAAACTTGCTTGGATATTAGCAGATTAAGATGATGCAAATTGTTTTCGGGTCCGAAACTTTTCCCGAAAAATGGATCAATCTTGTCATATTATAGTCAACCAAGATTACTGACATAAATATATCAAAAAGAGCATCTTACCTGGCCCAAAAACTTTATGATTGGTAACTCTTCAAGAAAACTGCGCAAAACGTTTATACATTTTTTTTTGAAAAAAAAACTGCTGTTTCATATAGTAAAAACGGCCTTTTTGTCGATCAAACAAAATAATTTAAAATTTACAATGTTTTGGAGATTAATACTTCTTAAAGTTGATCGACTACGTAAAAGGTTCAATTTGATAAATCTATATCAGTAATCACCCACAGGCCTAGTTTTTGATTGTCTAAAAAAAGCTAAAAATGATCCATTTTTAAATTGGTAACATTCTAAGCAAGTTTGGTCATCTTCGTTTTTTACCTTAAGTAAACCCAATTTGAGAAAAACACATGTTATGTTTCAAGTTTAATGCATTTTGTCGAGTATATTTTTATCACACTGTACAACGCACCACTTCTTTTTTTGAACAGTCGATTCTGGTTGGTTGAAAACTTCAGCTCAGATCTAGTTCTTGGTTAACAAAATGATTTAAGTAGCAGACTAAAGGTTGTTTGTTTTTTTTTCTGGTAAAAAAAGAAGCGTACAACCATTTTTTAGCCCTAATTTCAAAACGCTTTTCTAGATAATTCAAAACACAGAAAACAAATTCATTTGGTTCGAAAATCATTTGTGACAAGACACAAATTAGAAGGTACAAATTTTTATAGATAGAAGTAAAAACAAAGTTATCTTGTCTACAGTAACTAACGAAACAGGAAAAATTATTGGAGTAAAAAATTTGCATATGTCTGAAGATTGAATCAGATAATAACAGAGTCTGAAATAAGCTACTGCAGTGATTTTATTTGATTTTTATTCCGACCATTGAAAATGGGGAAAAAACTTTTTGTTCAGGTATGTTGCTGGTTTTTTTGTTTTCTACGCAAAATCAAGAAAATCAAATAATCATTGGAAAGGGTCGAAAGGCATATTATTTTGAAGTTTTTTTTCAGCCGTGACTCGAAAAAAAATTCGAGATTAGTCTAATTTCGAGCAGATGACACGGTCGGGTAACGCTTGTTGTAGGGAAGTTTAATTTTTTAAAACACTTTTAAGACAAAAAACAGAATTTTTCTATTTTGAAAAAATATGTCTTGGATGTATCCTTCAGCGCTTATTTGGCAAAAAAACTTTGTAGAAAAAACATGTAAATTTATTGTGCTAAAAGTTTTTTAAAAAATTCAATTTTTTTTCTTCAATTTTTTGTTTATTATTCAATTTTTGGTGACAACTGTTGTCGATCAAGCCTAAGTCACTTATTTTCTTCGCGATCGTCTAGTTGTCGAGTCAAACCAACTACTAAACCCGACACTAAATTGAAGAAAAGTAAGATAATATTTCTCAGTTTTTCTTATGAATATCGTCAGAACGTTCTGTGCTACTTGCAAGGCGCCTATCCTTGCTTTTTTGGAAAAATAAGGTTTTCACCCAGTTACTAAATTTTGAACAACCTGGTCTTTGGTATCTATAGTTTCGAAAACAAATAACTGAAAAGAATTTTCACTGAAATTATTTCATCTTTAACAGTTAAATAAATTAAATCGAGGTCGATTTTTTTCAGCCTTCAAAAACAGCGGTTTTTTCATCCCTGGTCTTTTTTATCCCTAAACAGCGGTTTGCAACTCGCTAGAGTATAGAACCTTACAAACCCAACTCGAGTGAAGTTTTTCAGATAAAATTTTCTGGGTGCTCACTTGGATATACCCGGATCAGGTCCAAAATTGACTCCTGGAAGGCAGTTTCAAATCCATTTTGTAACAATCCATTCATTTTCTCTGCTCACATGAAATTTCAAATTGATACTTTCAATACTTTCAAAGAAACAGAGTTTTGAAAAAGGCACTCTATCAGAAGCACCCTGTAGCATAATCAGGGACGGATCTAAGGTTTTCTCGAGGGGGTCAGATTTTCACAAAACGTCATTATGAGGCCAAACTGTGCATTTTGTGAATTTGAAGCGGATTCCGTAACAAGGACGCTCCCTTTGTTTTTCTTTTTTTTTTCATTCTCTTTGATTGTTCCGACAAAATTTTACCGTGTTGAAAGACTTGTCTGTGGAATCCAGGAACATACAGACACAAAATTGTCCGACTATCCAGTGCACAGTTTGGCCTCGTAATGATTCGAATGTTTTGTCGACCTGTTTTTATAGGTCGACCAAATTGATTTTCCGATCGCTCACAAACCCTATAAAAACCCTATTTTGACAAAAAAAAATCCGGCGCAAGCATATTTTTGAAAACAACTCAAATTTGCCGTTTTTGGATACTTTTTGGAAAATTTTGACCAAAAATTTGCAATTTTTGGGTGCGCGCTCTCCTTCAAAAAGAGTATATATTGCCTGCAAAAAATTGGGGTTGGTCAGCCAAATAAATTATTATAAAATATTGCCAAAAGGGGGACCCTTTGGGGGGCGAGGGGGTCGAATTCCTGAGTGAAGAGGCGTGCCCCGCCCTTCTTTAATCCGCCCGAGCATAATTTTGACAGCTTAGTTTCTCAGAAATGCAATGCAGCAATAGCAATGTTGAAATAGCAATGGAATCTAATTTGCAAACAATTTATTATTATTATTACTTGCATCTTTGAGATAGAAATAAGAGAAACTAAGCAATCAATGAGCAAGTGAAATACCTAAACGCATAAATAGTCATCCGTCGTGAAATAAATAATCATCCGTCGATCAGCCCTCAATAGCAGATAGCGGAAGATGATTCAACTCAAAATGTTTTTTTTTGCAAACAAATCCTTGCCTTTCAGTGGCATTCGAGCATGATCCGTTTTTTTTTCAGACACTTTGAAGAATTTTTGAAGTTCAAGTTAAAAAGAAAGAAAGTTTTTTTTTTCAAACAAACAAAAATCTTTAAAAAACTAGTCTTCAATTTTTCAGACTCAAGAAAAAAACTTATCATTTTTTTCAGGCAGAAACTGGAAACTTAGTTTAAAATTTTTTTGCAGGAGGGTGTCAGAGGAGCGAATTGAACACCCAACAGTGCACCTAGCTGCGCCTCTCGGTTTTAACGAATTCTTCAACAAGAACATGCGAGACCTGTGCGACTTTGACTTTGATTGTCTCTTCCACCATGTGAAGGAACTCACAAGCGAGACCATGCATAAATTCGACGTGCTTATTATGAAGGGTACACTTACTCCAGAGTTCAAATCTTTCCATGTTCACACAACTTTGCATGCATTTTCTAATTAATAGCAAAAAGTTCGGACAGATAAAATTAGTTAAAAAGAGCAATTGATCTATTTTGGAAAAATTTTGCTTGCAAAATGTAGTTTTTCAGTCCGATTTTGTGTCTCAAGGTTGTCTGAAAAAGAAATTGCATGCAAAAACCTGTCGAAATGGTACGATTGCTCTTTTGAATTAATTCTGTTTGTCCGAAATTTTTGCAACTCTCTATCTTTCTCGGACAACCACGATTCACAAATTCGGTCTGAAAAAAAATGATTTTTGCATGCAAAATTTCTCAAAGATAACTAGGTTGCTCTTTTTAAGTACTTTTGACTAAGTGAATTTTTTGATAGTCGTAGAAAAACTTCAGGCAGACAATATCAATGAAAAGCGTATAGAGAGTTGCAAAGGTTCGGACAGTCAAAAATAAATAAAAAGAGCAATCTGCCAATTTTGAGCAGTTTTTGCATAAATATTTGAATTTTCAGGTGACATTAAGACATACTTGCTGTCTGAAAAAGAATTTTTTCATGCGAAAAATGGCTGAAAAAGGTCACTTGCTCTTTTGAAGTCATTTTTTCTGTAAGAACTGTTTACACCTACAGTGCTGATTTAAATTAACCGGACAAAACGCGTTAAACTTGAAATTAAAAACGCATTTTTCTCAAATTGGGTTGAGTTTATGTGAAAATTTATGATGATAAAACTTGCTTAAAATTTCAGCTGAATTAATATGGAATAACTTGTTTTGCAAAATTCGGGTCCGAAATTTTACCCCAAAAATGGGTCATTTTGGCATTTCTTAGTTAAACAAAATTTACGCCGAAAAAACCCAGTCGATCACAGACATAATTATATCAAAGTGAGCCCCTTACGTAGCTCAACAAACTTTATGAAGAGTATTTGCCCTAAAAAATTGCAAAATTTTAAAAATTGTTTTTAAATAAATAGTTGGTATTTATATAGTAAAAACGACCTTTTTTGTCTATCAAACAAAATAAATTTACTTATACAAGTTTTGGAGAGAATACCCTTTTTAAAGTTTGTTGGGCCACGTAAGGGGCTCACTTTGATATAATTATGGCTGTGATCGACTGGGTACTTCTGGCGTTTTTTTTTATTAACTAAGATAACTAAGATTAACTAAGATTAACTAGAAAAGTTTTCACCTAAACTCAACCCAATTTGAGAACAATGCGTTTTAAATTTCAAGTTTAACGCGTTTTTTCCGGTTAATTGAAATCAGCACTGTATCTATAATTGAACCTTATGGAAAAAATTGCAAGCAAAAGCTTGTTTTATAGACAAAATTTGTGCCTCAAACTAAATTTGAATGCAAAAATTAGTTTTGCCTGGCAGAATTTTTCAATATAAATCAAGCAATCAGTGGGGGGAGGGGGGAGGATGTTAACGCAGGGATCAAAAATTTGGCAAGAAAACGTGAAAGTCTCAAAGAAAAAAGAACCTTTCCAGGGACTGAAAATGAATACTGGCCGAAAAAAGGCAGAATTATGCAAAATTTTCAAATTGTCACTGAACGCCGGCGAATTGTAACAAATTTTATATTTCAATGGTTTCTTAATAAAAGAAGCATAAAATTGCTTCATTTACGTTTTTTAGTTGAACGGTAATTGATTCATTTTAATATTTGACTTTCGGCTATTTTTTTTTCGGTCCTTAGCTCATAAGTTTTTCGCTACTTCGATCTTTCGCGCATGAGAAAAACCCCCCTGTTCTACTTTCATCTTATCGTGATTTCCATATGTGAAAACCGCTTCCGCAAAATTAATCAACCCAAAAGGCAATCGTTTTTGACCAATTAAACTGCCCAAGGTCACCGATATTGCCAACAATTTGGCATTAACTATAAATCCTCTCCAAAGAGGCAAGAGGCAGCAAAAATTCTGATGATATAATTCATTAGGTTGAATTGTTTTTGTTCACGCATGTTTTCGCGGCTTATTGAATTTATTATTTTTTTGAGAAATAGTATCAGCTTCTTCGACACAGATGTTAAATAATCGGATAAGATGAACAAAACAAAACGTTCAAACCTGTTTCTCGCAGTTTCGGTTATTTTTGGACTAAAAATAAATGTGAAGACAATTGTTCGAATTTTAACCAGCAGTTTATGGTGCAATTTATTTGGCGGAATTCTAAACCAAATTACACTCTTAAAACGGATCAATTCATTTGGGCCAAAACTAAGGGGGCGAACAAGCTCAATTGTAAATTTAAAACATTTGTGAAGTGAGAAAAGGTTTTTAAAATGTGTTTTCAATACATCCTGTATGTGCTAAGATGCAGTGGAACATGAAATAATTTTGATCAGACCAGCTCAGTTTCGTTTACTTTTTTAATTGAGAACCAACTTCGAGGAACTTCTCGTTTTTTTATGGCTTGTTTGATTTGAACTGAAACAGCCAACCATGTTCTTTTGTTTTACTGCACCAAAAAAACTTCACTTCTTTGAACATTAATTTAATCAATTTACGAGAGAACTTGAACCTAGATTTTTGACTGAGAGCCAGATACCTTGACATTTACACTACCACACCTGTATCATTCTGAAGATATTCAGTGCACAAATTATTTTTCGTATTTTGACTACAGGTCCCCCTGGGGTGGAAAAAGTGCGGAGTCTATGGAAGGGGGCTGAGAAAAAGAGACTGTGGCGACAGCTTTGGATGGTCAGCTATGGAGAGAACACTCTCAATGGGGTCAACCAACAAGGTACAAGAGATAGCTTGCAAAAACATGTTCCAAAAATAAGTTTTCCAAGGTTTAAGGAAAATTCAAATTTACGTAGTAAGCTGCAGAGCCATCATACAGGTGCAGGTTAATGAGAACGTAAGTCTATTTTTGGATCTACTTAACAATCTCCACCCTTTTCAAGAAAAAGGGGGGAGATTGTTAAGTAGGTCAAAATGGTCGATTTTTCAACCAATCAGAATGCAGCAAAAATATAATTCTCAATAGAAAGCTCAAGGCTATTTTACTGTATTTATTTATAGGGGTGGAGATTCTTAATTAGGTACCTTGGGGGGGGGGGGGGGGATATTGTTAAGTAGATCCCTATTTTTGACTGTTTTATATCTTAAAAAGACCGAACTCTTAAAAAATATTCTTTGACATCATCAAGAAAACATTCAGATTTTTCAAGATCTTGGCAAGATTTTCAAGACGACTAGACCAGAGCTGAGTAAGATACGAAATACAGTCTTTTCATCTTGAGTAGTTTTGTTCATAGATTCAAAGTTCTGTTTTTGAGACATGCTTTCTGTCTGAAATATTAGCTCATGCATGCCAACGTTTTATGTGAAATAAGTGCCTTTTTTAATTAGTTTCGGCTGTCCAAATTCTTTCTTTTTGTTATAAAACGTACAATAAAAGGTTGGCCGATAAACTGGGCGTGTTTATGTAGACGGCCTAAATTTACAATAGCAAATTATAAAAAATGAAATAAGAATGCCGGCACCTGATTGGTTGACCGAAACCGTAATTTTGAACTTTTCTTTAAAAATGAAGTACATAAAACTTAACTGTTCATTCTTTTCGGTTTGTAATAGAGTAGATTAAAATGCTCACGATTTGGGAGGACAAACCGAAAAAACTTCTTCGGGCAAAAAGGAAAAGTTGACCTTATCTGAAAGTCATGTTTGAAGAATATACCTCAAATTTCGTGGTTATCCAATCAAGTGTGAGTATTTGCATTTATATACTCATGTTATTTATAGCAAGTTCGGACCGTACAGTATCATCAGGAACCAAAATTCCGGTTATCTTAATGTAAGAACATGAAAAAGCGTGCTCCCCTTCAAAATTAGTAAATAATGGCGCCAAAAATTTTACGGTCGACGGAGCGAATATATGTTATTTTCGAGGGAGAGCGCGCGGTTTTAAAAAATGTACGTTACCATTTATTAATAAAAAACAAACACGTAGCAAAACAAAGTACTTGCCAGACATGCAGACAGCACAAACATTGCATGGGAAGCAAGACGATAGAAAATTGAAGCCGCTAGTTCAAAAACAATTCTTAAAACACGTCAGAAAAAAAGTTTTACTGAATCTATTTGTCGTTTTTGAAGTTTCTTTTGATTGACATCTGCTAGATAAGGCAATTGCGAGATGAAAAAAAAAGAATTATCATCCGTAACCAGATGGAAAAAAAATTGGCAGACGCCCCTTAGACAAGTACAAAAATCAAAAAAATAACTTGAAAATTTAAGCCTCCACCCGAATACTCACGTGAATGAGAGTTTTATTTTTGCTCAGCAAACGACGCAGTATGAAAGCGATACTTTATATTTTAAAGCTTTCCAGGCAAAAGAAATTTAAAAAAATCAAGCAAAGTCCAATTTAATTCAAAAAATCCAAGTAACCATTAGAAAAAACTTCGAATTCACACGGGTGTTATTAAAATTCAAAATCTTATAAAAAATCTTATATATTGTAAGAGTGAATGCGATTTTTTACCAAATTCCTACATCTTCTAAGAATCAAATCAAAAACTTATATGAATCTTATAAGAATCTTTTAAGACTTTAAATTGCTGTTCCGATTCTCAAGCCGTGCTAAAAGTCGCATAAAGAGAGCAAATAGCTAAAAATTGTCAAATATGCTCTGGCACGGTAGAGTTTCATCTGAATACTCTTTTTTTGAACATTACATTTAGCTGGCTAGTTTGGGAAATAAGGACCAAATGATAATCATAATAATCATAATAATGATAGCTATAAATGTCAGGAAATAAAGACAGTCTCGATGTATCACAGTCGTCAAACTCAAATTCTTATAAGATTCTTACAAGATCCTTGCCAGATCAATGTATTTACTTTAGAGATTTTCATAGTTTTCTTAAAATAATTTGTATTTTAATTACACCCCTTTAGAGATTCTCATAGTTTTCTTAAAATAATTTGTATTTTAATTACACCCGATGATCAAATTAAGTCTACTGTTGACAAAACCTGGAATTTAGATAGTTGTGAAAGTCTTGTCAAATGAACCAGTGATTCTGTCAGACACGTGGTGCAAAAATAAGTTGATTACTCAGAAACCCAATTTCTTTGTAATAGTCAAACAGATAAATGAGCGCTTGTTTCTCAAACCTTCTCATATCTATTGACTGGTTGTGGAATCAAACAGTCCCTTACCCAGGGGATTTTCTTAGCAAGATCTGAAATTCTTTAATTCTTACATACGTTAATTCTCAGATCTGAAATTCTTGATAAGAATTTAAAAATTTCAGATCTGAAATTTAGATCTGAAATGGAAAATTTCAGATCTGAAATAACCTTGAAAAACAAAATTTCAGATCTGATATCAGATTTGATAAATCCTTTGTTGAATTATAATTTGTGCATTTCGAGCAAAAAATGGAGTTTTTTTGATATTTCTGCAATACACAATTATGTTCAGATTAACTAGCGGTCCGAAAAACTTCCGAGTATTTTTTGACAAACAGTTTTTTTGAATTAAATTTCTGGTTCAACTGTATTAAAAAATTTTCAAAACCTGTTAGAAGACTTGCAACATTTTTAAATTTCATGCGTCATTTATGCGTTTCCAATGTTTTCCTCATGATTGGCGGAAACACATTTCGGCAGTCTCCAACTTGAGACTTTGCTGAGTACCTGATAGTAGCTAGCAGCAGCTAAGCAAAATCAAAAATAGCAAAAACTGAGTCAGAATCATTGATTTTGCAGATCTGAAATAACCAAGAAAAACTAAATTTCAGATCTGAAAAAGATTTTTTCAGATCTGAAATAACCAAGAAAAAGAAAATTTCAGACCTGAAAATAGATCTGAAACAACCAATCCCTAAAGTATCCAAGCGTTATTTAAACATTTCCCAACCTATTTCAGATCTGAAATTTAGATCTGAAAAAGATTGTTTCAGATCTGGTTTAGAAAATATACTGGGTACGGGGTTCTAATAGGTTCATTCTCTGATGAAACCATCTTATGCTATAGCCAAACTACTTCAAAGAAAAAAAGTTTCGTTAAAATAAGTGAATTACTTAAGGCTAAAACAATAGATGAGACGTGAAGATGAGCACTCGAACGTAGTGGATTACACCTAAGGTCAGACAATGACTGTCAGACTAATTAAAAGAAGTGAACGTAAAATCAGTGAAAGTAGTGAACAATTGAGGCTAATTCTGCTGGAATGGGTCGCATAATAATGATTGAAAACAATTGTAATGATTGAAAAAGTGATTATTGAGAGAGTCAAGAAATGTTACAGTCTAGTACTGAGCGCTACAGGAAACTATCATGAAAAAAATAATTAAGAGCTGAAAATATTGAGTTTTCATAATGTTTTTCTAAAAGAAATTTGTCCAGTTCTCTTGGGATATGGCTATTTTTTGACGGGGATATCAAAATTTGCTAATTCTTTTCTTACGGAATATCCAGTTGATCAGTGTGCTATGCAATTTTTGTTTTCCGACTGTGCTGTCACTGAATGATCCGTAAGATTCCCGGGTTGACCTCCATAGACCAAAAATGCTAATCATACAATTTCATACACTTAGTCTATGGAAAAATGCTAGTCATACATTTTTCATACATTTTTGCAAAATGAGTTTAATCGAATTTCAAAGGTATTTTATAGTTGTTTTGGTATTGAAATTGGGATCTCTTCATAAAAAAATGGTATGAAAAAAATGCTAATCATACAATTTCCATATATGGAAATTGTATGATTAGCATTTTTTTCCAAGAAAGTTTTTGAGAAAAAAAGCTTTGAACAATCAATTCAACTGCTGGCAAAACATTTAAGCGTTTTTTGGGTTGCTACAACTGAAAACTTTGACTTTTTTAAATTTTTTTTTCTGAAAAAAAAGCACTAGTCATACAATTTCCATATATGGAAGTTGTATGACTAGCATTTTTTTGAGTTTTTTTTTGTGTTTTTTTTTCAACCGCAAATTGATTTTCGTTTTCAAACAAACATTTTTTGAAAAAAAAAAATTTTGCATGCAAAATTTAATTTTTTGTGTGTATAACGTAGTCCTGGATATACTAATTTTGGATTTTTTTCTTTTCTCTTCATAACTTTTTTCAAAAACGCTTAAAACTCTTCTTTCTTTTGTATGACACGTTTTGTATGCCTTGATCAATGTCTGGTAATTTAAAAATTCTAATTATTAAATTACCTATGCCTTTGGCTACTACGTTTGAGTAAACAAGGTTTATGTCATTTGTGTTCGGTTACGAACACAACCAAATAATTTTGAGAAATTAAATTGTAAAAAATCAATATTTTTGGTTTATGGAAAAATGCTAGTCATACATTTCCATATATGAAAAAATACTAATCATAGACCTTTCATGCAATTTTCTGTACGTATGGAATTGTATGGAAAGTGTATGACTAGCATTTTTCCATATATGGAAATTGTATGACTAGTATTTTTGGTCATCCCGGGTTTGCAAGTTGGACGACTTGGAATTTCCGAAGTTTCAGCTTTCGCAGGGTTAGAAACAGAAGTTGTTTGTCTATGGAGTATCCTTGCCGAGCGTTTTCTTGTCGTGTTTCGGTGGAAGCCGAGATGCCAATAGTTTGGTCTACATAAATTATAAAGTACCTATCAACAAAAAAATTACCGGTTGTTTTTACCGGTTACGGGTTGTTTGTGTCACGTTCATCTTACCCGAGGAGTCAGCGATCTCGAACCCTGGAGTTTTTCCGGGATTTAGTTCCAGGTCCATCAGAGAACTCT